ACACACACACACACGCACACACACACGCACACGCACACACACACGCACACACACACGCATCCACACACACACACACACACACACACACACACACACACACACACACACACACACACACACACACACACACACACACACACACACTTACCCTCGCCCTTAACCATTTGTTGACACCCACGCATCGCCTTTCAGATAATTCGTTGCAACTCGAGAATGTCTTTGCTCTTGCAGCCTTTTTTCCTTTGTTTATCTTTGCATCTATATTTATCTCTGTCTGTCTGTATTCACCTAGTTGTGCTTGCGGGGATTGAGCTCTGCTCTTTCGGCCCGCCTCACAACTGTCGATCAACTGTTACTAAACTACTTTTTCACACATACACACACCACCAGGAAGCAGTCCGTAACAGCTGTCTAACTCCCAGGTACCTATTTACTGCTAGGTAACAGGGGCATCTGGATGTAAGAAACTCTGGCCATTTGTTTCTCGCCGGCGCCGGGAATCGAACCCGGGCGACAGGATTACGTGTTCAGCGTGCTATCCACACAGCCACCGGCATCTCATCACATCACAAACACACACTGTGTCTGTCTGTGTCTCTTAACAATACAACAACTACCTTCATCAGCACTATCTCAACTATCAAAACTAGCACAACCAGAGACAATCACATTTACAACTACAACCCCAAGCTACCACCATTATAACAGACCTCCCCCATTACCACAATTACAACCCTCCACCTTTTATTTTATTTTTTTTATTTATTAATATGCAAGAGTTCTTACATTCTTGTACAACCACTAGTACGCGTAGCGTTTCGGGCAAGTCCTTAATCCTATGTCCCCTGGAATACGACCCCCGCGAAGAATCGTTTTTTACAACCAAATATCCATTTTACTGGTGAGTTAAACAGAGGCTACAGTTACTGATTTGCGCCCAGTAGATCCTTCCCGGCCAGGATTCGAACCCAGGACAAAGCGTTCGCGACACGCCAGGCGAGCATCTTAATCACTTCACCACGGGGACTACTAACCCCACTGCCAACCGGGGACTCCTTAACCACAATTATAGACCACAACCATTACTAAAGACCACCACCATTACCCCAACCACAGACCTCCACCATCACAACCACAAACCAATACAATTACCACGAACCACCACAATCACAGCACAATAAAATAGCCGTCTCCCGCGGCCACAATAATATAAAAAATACAGGTAAAGCACCCCCCCCCGCCCCTTCCCCCTAGATCAACAATCACCTAACCACAATCATCCCATAATCCCCCCCCTCCCCCTCACAAACACCCCATCCCCCTCCCCCAAGACACACAATACAACCACCCAGCCTATACCACAATCCCGACGAGCCTTCGACAGTCGTAAATAAGATCTCTGGGGCCAATCGGGTGGGTATTCCTATCGGGAAAATTCTATTTTATACGTGTGACGAGGCGGGAGCGCGTGTAGCCTGGAGCTGGGAAGCCGACACAAGGAGGGAGGGAGGAAAGAAGGGAAGGGTTCGAGGTGCATGTGAGGCAATGTTAGATGATATACTTGACTCTTGACACGAAAACACGGACAAGCTCACCACCGTTCTGCCTCAGTGGATTTCAATCCCTCTGTCAACTTGACTGTCTCAATGCCAGCATTTTTTTTTTTTTTCTCCATTTGTGTAATGTTTTGTTTCTATTCGTGTGTTAGGGTGGGTATTTCCTCTCTCTCTCTCTCTCTCTCTCTCTCTATCTCTATCTCTATCTCTCTCTCTCTCTCTCTCTCTCTCTCTCTCTCTCTCTCTCTCTCTCTCTCTCTCTCTCTCTCTCTCTCTCCTCTCTCTCTCCCTCTCTCCCCTTCCCTCTCCTTCCCTCTCCATTTACTCTCGCTCGCACTCTTTCTTGATAACAAAAAACGATAATTTTTTGGGACGAACTTGCCAACTTAACAGTCAGCTAAGCAGAAAACCAACACAATAATCAAACACTTTAGACCGTGAGACATCACAGGGGAGACATGATCAGCTGTGTGTAAATTAGGAGAGCAGTCTACCGTGACAAGAGAAAACACACCATCCATGTTATGGAGATGGATCTGTATCGCATCTGGGATGTGGACACCATCCACGTTAGGGAGATGGATTAGCATTTGATCTGGCACATATGTGGGATGTGGTCAGCATCTATGTTATGGAGATGAACCAGCAACTGATCTGGGGTGTAGACAGCACATGTTATGTTATAGAGAGGGATGTTATGGAGATGAATCCACGATTGATCTGGGATGTGGACAGCATCCACGTTATGGAGACGGCCATGGAGAAGCATCTGATATATGGATGAATGCTCAATAACTTGTTATTGCAGCAGCTCTCTAATCCTTTGTGTAAAACAAATGTATATTTGTTGGATAACTTTGTATAAATGTATGACTACACCTGTGATAGAAAAAAATATATATAAATAAAATTGCATATTGGAAGTGGAAAGGGCTCTCAGCATCTTCCAGGGTCGTTGTGTGAAAGCCGAAGACCCAAGTTATGTTACAGGTAGTTCCAGGTAACCTAACTCACAAGACATCTCTCCTCCCACTTTGTCGAAACTTTCAAAGAACTTAAACAAATATAAAGTTGAGCACATATCAGTTCTTTAAAAAAAAGAACTGCTCAATAGAAATATGGTTCCAATATCTCCTAGGTATTTGAACATATTCGTAATATGCTCCATTGCATACGTGCAATGAAACAACGTACTCTGAACATTTGTCTTTTAAAGAGAAAATTGAATCAAACGAGGAGGTATCTGCAGTTTTATTCATTGCTGTCAATCAAAAGCCAGTGTCTACAGAGCTAAGGTTCAGCACATCTCTCTTGTCCAAGAAATACTAAAGCTAACTTTTTTGTTATGCTTATGATCATGTTTTATTAACTCTGCCTAGTATATAACCTGGAAAATCAATCGGTATGTGACAGATATAAAGCCAAATGCAACCTAATTTTTAGTCAAATGTAATGTATTGTAGATATTTAATTATGGATGACGCGCATCTCACACAGCTTAAATAACATCACTTGTGATGAGTTTCCCGTGAAAAACGATGAGTATGTTGACCAAGTTGACCAATGACCAAAAAGCTTAATCTCGTGCGGCTAGAATTGCCGCTAATCCCTCTAAGAAGAAGTTGCGAACTGGACACCAATTGCTGGAGATCCGTCGACTAGTTAATAGGCCAGAGTCTCGTTCGTTATCGGAATTAACCAGACAAATCGCTCCGACGATGAGTATCATTTGGTTGATTTACGTCCTTCAAGGACGTACTTATCATCATTTCCTGTGGGGGACAATATCCAGGAGTAACGTTAATTCAACGTTAAACAATCGTTATCAACTTTGAATATCGCCCGAGCGAAGATATATTTATTTATCCGTTTCCCCATCAAGTTTCGGAATTATGGGAAACCCAAGAAATGCTGATCCTGGTCTGCTAAATTCCCCATTTTGAAATCGCTATTAACTCATCTTTGATGTTGCTCCTCACCCAACATTGAGACTATTTAATTGGCTTAAATGTACACAAGAGTATTACGGGCTCACCATAGCCCGTGCTACATGGACACTTCGTCCTGAGTAGCTAAATCTTTAACAACAACAATACACAAGAGTAACTCGATCAATTATTCCCAACAGAATGATCTCAGTTTCTCAAAAGGGAATCACCAATAATATTTAGAACCTGTGTTTTATTTGAATACATTTTCTCGTCAGCGGACACTTATGTCTTTGCTACAATGAGTGATGGGTTATATAGTGTGGAACGTCTACGTTATATTGTGGCAGGTCTACGCTATATTGTGGCAGGTCTACGCTATATTGTGCCAGGTCTACGCTATATTGTGGCAGGTCTACGCTATATTGTGCCAGGTCTACGCTATACTGTAGCAGGTCTACATTATAGAATATAACTGATCGCCGAAGGGAATAATGAAATAACCTATTTCCTATTTCCTGAAATAACCTAATAACCTCAATCGACTTGAGAATGGTCCAGGACGGACCGAAACGTCGTCGTCCCTTCAATTTCTAGTGTGTGGTCTGGTCAACATACTTCAGCCACGTTATTGTGACTCATCGCCTGCAACCTATTTCCTAATTTTGACATGGGTATTGTAAAACAGAAAGTCTTCCTTAACATGTACCTAAAACTCAACATCTGCTTGAAATGTATTGAGGATATATTTCTGCAGGAATTTGATACTGAGCGCTTGCTTCAGCTTTGTGATGCATTTGAGCTGTAAGTTCAATGCAAAGTTTCACTTTCGCGATGAAGAGTGAAGATGAGTGGCCTTTCCTAGATGTAACAGTCTCAGAAAGGCTCTCATACTACAGTCTAAACTAAGGAAACCAACATGGGAGTATGCTTTAATGCTAGCAGTGACGGGGGGCGGCCCAGACAGACTCAAACTAAGTGCTGTCAATGTATATACGTCAATCGCGCGCTCTCGCACCGCTCCAGTCGGAAGAAAGTTCACCAGCAATTGGATAGAGTAAGGCAAGTCCCAGTCAATCATGGCTACTCTAAAGGATACGACGAATAGCTCATTAAAAGGAAAAGCGAGTCACAATTGTTGCGATGTGAAGAAGCGGCAAGCATCACATTATCTGCCCCTCGTACAAAAAACATTCTAAAGGAATCTCTCTTTCCACATCTCACACGAGAAAGGTGTCCCGATAAAAATTATTGATAGAAATAAAACTCTTACCGAAACTAAAAAAATGATCAATAATAAATTATAAAAAGCCAAAAATATCGTCACTTCCCCGCTTGATGGGGGGAGAGGAGGGGGAAGGGGGGATTACACCCCCACGATTTCAGTATACAGGCAAGACAACCTTTCATTCACGGCGCCTAACAGTGCACAAATACACAAGGTCCATCCAGTGAACATGTATAACCTCTACACACAACCAGATGCACAAGGCAGTCAAAACAACATGATATATCAATGAGAAATTCCAGGGCCGGCAGGAGGGCCCTTGCCTCTTCACGTGACCAGGCCCCTGCTCCTGCACGTGACCAGGCCCCTGCTCCTACACGTGACCAGGCCCCTGCTCCTGCACGTGACCAGGCCCCTGCTCCTGCACGTGACCAGGCCCCTGCTCCTGCACGTGACCAGGCCCCTGCTCCTGCACGTGACCAGGCCCCTGCTCCTGCACGTGACCAGGCCCCTGCTCCTGCACGTGACCAGGCCCCTGCTCCTGCACGTGACCAGGCCCCTGCTCCTGCACGTGACCAGGCCCCTGCTCCTGCACGTGACCAGGCCCCTGCTCCTGCACGTGACCAGGCCCCTGCTCCTGCACGTGACCAGGCCCCTGCTCCTGCACGTGACCAGGCCCCTGCTCCTGCACGTGACCAGGCCCCTGCTCCTGCACGTGACCAGGCCCCTGCTCCTGCACGTGACCAGGCCCCTGCTCCTGCACGTGACCAGGCCCCTGCTCCTGCACGTGACAGGAGTAACTCACACGGCTCTATCCCTGTCTGACCCCTAACTTTCAGCGGTGCATGTGCGCCGTGAAGAGTTGTACTCACCTTCTCTGTGAGAGGCGAGGGATGATGAGAGAAAGATGTGATGGGGAGAGAGGAGGGAGATGAGATGGGGGGAGAGAGAGATGGGGGGAGAGAGAGAGATGGGGGGAGAGAGAGAGGAGATGGGAGGAGAGAGAGATGGGGGGAGAGAGAGAGATGGGGGGAGAGAGAGAGATGGGGGGAGAGAGATGGGGGGGAGAGAGAGATGGGGGAGAGAGAGATGGGGGGAGAGAGAGAGATGGGGGGAGAGAGATGGGGGGGAGAGAGAGATGGGGGAGAGAGAGATGAGGGGAGAGAGAGAGGGGGGGAGAGAGAGAGATGGGGGGGGGAGAGAGAGGGGGAGAGAGAGGGGGGAGAGAGAGAGAGGGGGGGGGAGAGAGAGAGGGAGGGGGGGAGAGAGAGAGAGAGGGGGGGAGAGAGAGAGAGGGGGAGGGAGAGAGAGGAGAGAGAGAGGGGAGAGAGAGAGAGAGAGATGGGGGGGAGAGGAGAGAGAGAGGGGGGAGAGAGAGGGAGGAGAGAGGAGAGAGAGAGGGGAGAGAGGAGAGAGAGGGAGGAGAGAGAGAGAGGGGAGGAGAGAGAGAGGGAGGAGGGAGGAGAGAGAGAGAGAGACTAGGGGAGAGGGGGGGGAGGAGGAGAGAGGAGGAGAGGAGGGGGGGAGAGAGGAGAGAGAGAGGAGAGGATAGGAGGGGGGAGAGGGAGAGGGAGGGGAGAGGAGGAGGGAGACGAGAGAGAGAGGGGGGGAGAGAGAGAGAGAGGGGGGAGGAGAGAGAGAGAGAGAGGGGGAGGGAGAGAGAGAGAGGGAGAGAGAGAGGGAGGGGAGAGAGAGGGGGGGCGAGAGGAGGGGAGGGAGGGAGAGAGAGAGAGATGGAGAGGGGGGGGGAGGAGATGGTGGGGGGAGGGGGGGGGGAGAGAGAGGGGGGGGAGAGAGGGGGGGGGGGAGGAGAGAGGAGAGGAGGGGGGGAGAGAGAGAGAGAGGGGGGGAGAGAGAGGAGAGGGGGGGGAGAGAGAGAAGGAGGGGGGGAGGGAGAGAGAGAGAGGGAGGAGGGGGAGAGAGAGAAGAGAGGGGGGAGAGAGAGAGGAGGGGGAGAGGGAGAGAGGGGGAGGAGGGAGAGAGAGGGGAGGGGAGAGAGAGGACGGGAGGGATGAGGGGGAGGAGAGAGAGAGGGGGGAGAGAGAGAAGGGGGGGAGAGAGAGAGGGGAGAGATGGAGAGAGGAGAGAAGAGAGGCGAGAGTAAAGGGGGAGAGAGAGGGGAGGGGAAAGAGGGGAGAGACGCCAGAGAGAGAGAAAGCGAGTGAGGAGAGCGAGGGGGAGAGAGATCGAGAAAGAGAAGTGACCAGAAAGGACGAGAGAGTGAAAGAGAGATGAGAAAGAGAGAGGAGAAAGAGAGAGGAGAAAGGAGAGGGATGAGAAAGAGAGAGGAGAAAGAGAGAGAGAAAGAGAGAGAGAGAGAGAGAGGAGAGAGAGAGAGGAGAGAGGAGAGAGAGAGAGAGAGAGAGAGAGAGAGAGAGAGAGAGAGAGAGAGAGAGGAGAGAGAGAGAGAGAGAGAGAGAGAGAGAGAGAGAGAGAGAGAGAGAGAGAGAGAGAGAGAGAGAGAGAGAGAGAGAGAGAGAGAGAATGGAATGGAACTATCATGGAAAGTACCAAGCCCTTACGACTAAATAGTACTAAGAACGGGTCAGGATAACGATTTGGGATGGGACAGGGGAAAGGAATGATACCCGACCGCTTGGACGGTCGGGGATTGAACGCCGACCTGCATGAAGCGAGACCTTCGCTCTACCCTCCACCCCAAATGGTTGAGAGGGAGGGATAGAGAGAATGAGGGAGAAAGTGGGAGAGAGAGTAGTGGAGAATGGGGATGGAGGGGGGAATGGGGATGGAGGGTGAATGGGGGGGGGGATAGATAAGAAAAGTCATTTAATTTCGGAACGATTTTCTCCTGAAATTAAAGAAGAATTTGGGATTCCTAACAACACTATACCGAAGAAAGTTTGCGAATTCTTTTTGCTAAAAGAGAAGAAAATATAATTGGAATTAAACAGTAATTAGGACAGGTCTGTTAACTTGCCCAATTGCTTTGCGAGGATCTCCTATTAGTGTCGCTGCAGTCTCGAGGAAAAAGACCTTAGCCAGGTCTTAAGAACCTTTAAAAATACATTAAAACAGGTAGTAACGTTTCACGAAAATATAAGGCAATGATTCTAGCACGACTCATTTCTTGTTAATTATTTTGAAAAGGAAGTTAAAATGTTAACTTGCCTAATTTAATCCACCAGTTTTACATGGCTTAATGCTAAGTGATGCATTTCGTTGACCCGTCAACATTTTCAAAGGCAGAGGTGAAGTGAATACAAGTCATGATTGATTGATGAAGATTAAGCCACCCAAGAGGTGACACGGGCATAAGTAGCCCATAGGTGGTAGCTGTTTGGAGTGAATATGATCTTTGGTCGTGAATATTCAAGAGAGATTGAGAAATCGTGTATTATATATATATTATATATATAATATATATATAATATATATATTATATATATATATATATATATATATTATATATATATATAGTATATATATATATATATATATATATATATAAAGAAAAGTTCAAAAATCATGTTTTCAAAAATCTTATGTTGTCAGAGAAACAATGTATGCTTGATATTTGCCTTTAGTCTTGTATCTGTCTGCAATTGTCCTTGAATCTGTCTGATATTTTAATGTTGTATCTTTTAACATTTCTGTTGATCAAGTTGAGTGAATCAATTATATGTTATTTGATGGAGCCTTGCTATTTTTGCAAAGTCAGAGGCTTTAAAATTGATGTTTTTCTCTTCCCTGTCTAGTGAGGTCACTGGGGCTGACAGCCTTCAAATGGGCAAGTTAAAGGCATAAACGACATTCATCTTTACACTTGGTGTGAGGAGAGTTCCTAATGATCAAGTCGTCAGTCATCTTGCTTCTTATGTCATATCTGCCAATCATGATATCAGCTGCCATTCATCAAGATGAGTTTGTTACATTGACTTCTTTCGTGAAACAAAAATGATAGAATCAGTTCTCATTAGTGATTTCATTGTTACATTTAGTATCATCCAAGGACTTCTTAAAATAGACTCATTTCATGCAAGATAAACCATTTCTGGTATGTTTAAAATTCCTTAGTTCTCTCTGCTTTACTTTTTCTGTCATTTATTACTGAGACCACAGTTGTAAGTTAGCGATTATGCTTTACCGCATTTTATGTCTCCATAACGCCTGTTCCTTTCATTGTTATATATATTTTTATTCTGTAACCGGCGTGTGAAATACACTACTTTCTCTGTAATGAGAGTGTAAGGAAAAGTCCCTGAATGATTAGTAAATTTCCTTACTTTTTCATTTGGCATTGCTCAGCCTCCATTACTGTGGCTACAGTTGTTAGGAGGGATTTTGACGAGCACTATTGCACAGTAATATTACTCCTTTTTACCCAGTAATCATTATGAGTAACTGTTTTGGTATTCTGTTGATATGAAATTATGTCAGTCCTCCTGTAAGAATTGTCCATTTTCTACTGAGAAAAGAACTGAATTGATCTGTTTTCTGCGGTCTTTGTATCTCATGCGTTGTCTAATCCCTAGTTCATGTTAAAAATGTAAAAAAAATATAGTTGTAAATGATACTTCTGCAATATACTTCTTGCTCTTTGCTCTCCTGTTTTTGTCCCCAAACTTCTCTTTTGTTTACTTTATTACTGCGTTCTTTCCTACTCACCGCTGCCTCACTCGCCCTTGAAAACTGCCAATGTTTACTCATTTTTTTAAGGCCCCATTTACGCTCCTGCGAGGTCTTTCCGAGCTTCTTGCCCCCCCCCCCCTTGGTAGCTGTGTGTGTGTGTGTGTGTGTGTGTGTGTGTGTGTGTGTGTGTGTGTGTGTGTGGTGTGTGTGTGTGTGTGTGTGTGTGTGTGGGTGGTGGGACATGTCTGTCTCAATTTATTCGAGATTGAAGGTCTTCTGAATGGGACAAACCGAGCATTTTTCAATGATAATTGTTGTTGGAAACATGCTTATTATGCCTGGTTGGAGTTAGCATAAATAACATATGTGCTACTTGATACAGTGCCATTGGTATCCCCAACATTGAACCTTCCAATCTCGTGTTAACTGGACTCTGAATCCTTTTTATTTTTTTGTTTTTCTTTCTATTTTCTTACCATTCTATAAAATAATATGCACAGATGTCTACAAAAAAAAAACCCAGTCTGTTGTGCTTAGATTAAATAGCCTGTAATATACAGGGTATTCCAAAAGTCTGGATCCATAAACAAAAAAATGTATTTAAAAAGTTTTATTACAGTAAATACCTAAATTGATATCCTTGCATTTAGTGAAATTTGTATACAAGTATACATTGAACATTGCTGAATGTAGCGGAATAATGTTGATGCAGAGATGAGATTTCAGAGATTTCCTCCTTTAGTACAAAGATTGTTGTGGGCAATTTCGATCGACTACAGACTTCAAATAACCCCCAGAGATAAAAAAATATCGAGTGGTATTAAGTCTGGAGACCTTGGAGGCCATTCGACTAAACCTCGCCTTTCCATCCATCTGTTTGGAGAAGTTAGATCCAAATAATTTCCCATTGCAAGAGCAAAGTGTGGTGGGGCACCGTCTTACTGAAACCACGTTTTATGTCGTTCCAACAAAGTAATGTCCTCTAATTGAGAGATAAGGAAAGATTGTAACAGGAGGTGAGTTTCCACAATTACATAACTGCAACAAAAATATATGGCTCAGTTACCCTGTCCCGAAATATCCCCCACACCCATCATAATTGGTGGAAAATGTTTGGGAATGACTTTCAGTCAGTCCAGTTTGGGTGGTTTTAAGACGAGTAATGTGCTGGTTGACATTATCATATAAACGAAATGAGTCTCCCCTCAGTGTGAAACAATAGAGATGCAAACATG